CTCTCTCTCTCTCTCTCTCTCTCTCTCTCTCTCTCTCTCTCTGATAGTGTGTTTTTTAAAACAGCCTTAATTTATGTCCATTTGGGTTATTTTTAAGTCTTGCAGCAATGGGAAAATTCCTGCCAGGGAGAAATTTTTGTTACTTTTTCCTTCACACAGAGATTAAGAGTGGAGGTTTGGGGGCTGTATGAGGGCATCTTGGGAGAATGGGCAGAAGTTGCCAAAAGTGCTGGCAGGCTAAGCTTTTTTAGCCAACAGGTAAAAAATGACTTTAAAAAAAAGCTTTTGGTGTGGACTAATCTTATTTTTATTTATTGCTGTTATTACTGCTGCTACATTTGGGACAACACCAGTTCAGGAAAAAAAATCTATATGCTGCTTTTGTTTAAATAAGGTTGAGTTTTCTGTTTACAGTATTTTTGTTCTGTTTTATTGTTGTCATTTTCAGTATGGATTTGATTTTGGTGCTTGCAAGTTATTTTGGATTCCTAATGAAGAAGAGTGTGAAATTTTAAAAAGAATGAATAAATGAATGAGTACTGAATGAATGCTGAACAAAATTTTTTTTTAAATGCTATCGTAATGGGGACTGCCTGTTTCTTTTTTAGATCCACCATCCCCAGAAGTAGAATTCATGTCAGCACAAGGCTTTATACCGTTATTGAGCTTTGTGAAAGCAGAAGGAAGAAATGGTCCAATCAGGTCTCTGGCTTTTACGCTACATATTTCAGACACCCAAGAACACTTACTTCCATGTAATTGTTTTGTTTTTTAATGTTACTTGCTCTGATTATTTTGTTTCCTATCCTTTCAAATATTACTATCACTTAAGGAAGTACATATCCAGATTTGTTCCTCTTGCATATAGATTGCTGTTTAAAGTCCAGGGATGCTTACCTGATCATTTTTGTTAATTAACTCAGAAGTTGTATCACTCTTGAGTTTTGTACAGAGACAGATATGAATTTTCATTTCACCATATCCACAAACATTGATTTTGAGAGGTTTTTGAAGAGAAGGAGTAATGAGGGTCATTTAATTTGTATTAAGTAAGCTGTTTGTCTTGGAAAGGGAGGGGGTGCCTCCCCATTCATAGTTCCATGTGGAGGCCTTGGATATGGGCTGTCTGGCCTCAGAGTAATTACATGCAGTCTGGGCAGTGTTTGGAAAGAGCGGGGCTGATTTCTGTGAGGTTATGGTTGAAATGGGTAATCTGGTAACATTAACTCAACAATGCTTATCATTAGCAGTGCTGGCTACTAGATTAAGGGCAAGTTTGCTTCTTGGAAAAGTGAATTTAGGAAGTTTAACCTTTGTTTTTTGAAATAATCCAGGGAGGTTCACAATTGATTTGATCCTGGATCTCCCCAGTCCTAGTTCAAAATTGTAGCTATTGCATGTAAGCATGACTGATGGACCCTGAGTACCCCAGCCTTCAGCTAAGAGCAAGCCTTTAGAACAGAGAGACAGCACATATCTCTATGTGGATGACATAGAGACGCTTTACATACCCAAAATGTATGTATATTTGATAATATATGAGCTTCCTCTGTAGCCCAGTGTCTTTCAGAAATAAAAGTTCTGCAATTGTTTGTTCTTTGCAAATCCTTAATTGGTTTTCATTGGTATTGCTCAATTGCTTAAGATTTCAGGTTGCTTTATTAAAACATTATTTACTGTTCTATCACCTGCAGTTTTACATATCCACAGTTGTGAAAAAGAGAACAAGACCTGGTGTCAACAGTCGAGGTTTTTGCATATTCACAGGTTTTGGCTTGTTTTTTGTTACTTCACACATGCACAAAAAGCAGGTGGTTTGCACGCGCATAAAGTACATTCAGTCAGGGTATTGATATCTCTGATGACTAGAGCTAGAATGGAGCTCCTGCAAATAAGGAGGGTCACTTGTATACAAACCATGTAATGGTGGCCACCTGAGCACCAACATTGAAAGCAGCATTTTGAAGAAAATCAGTGTAGGTAGCAAAATTCAATAGGAATAAAAACAGCTTTAAACATGACTTGATGCTTTTCTTTTTCTTTCTAGTTCTTACCAAGTGATTGTCATTCCTGGGATTCCACTCTGCAACTTTAATTGCTATTCCTTGACTAACCTAACCTACTTCAGCAAAGATTCAGAATCTGATAGCTATGTGACAGCTGAATTCTCAGCCAAGGGCATTCCTGAGAACAGGTTGAACTTTGTCCTTGGAGACCGACTATATTATGGGGGATTTTACAATGCTCCCTTGAAACCAAGAAAAGAATATTGCATTGTATTGAGGACTATCAGCAAATGGAATGGGGTAAGAATACTGTTAAAATTCTTCCCATTCTTTTGCTTAATTTATGTTTGCATTTCAACAGGTTCCTGGGCAGCTTACAAAATAGAACTTGGTAATAAAATAAATTGAAAACAAAGGCTTTCAAACACAACAATGTGAAAAAGAGTAAAACAGCAGTTAGCAGAATTAAAAACAGCATCAAAATGTACAGAGGATAAGAAAGTCTGAGAATGTAGAAAGATATTTATCTGGCTCTGAAATAAGATCAAGAGAGATGTCAATTCAATTGAAGAATGATATCAGCTCAGCCCCCCTTTAAAAAAATCAGTAATTAGAGTATAATTACCAAATGGATCACCAATCAAACCTCCAATCCCAGGTTCCTTAAGATTCTGAATATATTTCGAATGACTTCATGGGATTGCATTTACGAGGAAAATTGCGGCTAGGTGCAGGATCCGGACCAGCAAAATCTCTCCAGAGGAAGGAGAGATCATTGAGATAACCCACATGACCATAGACAGCCGCTCCTCGTGAACAGAATGCAGCAATCTTTGTTTTGTGGTCGGCTTATAAGTTAAGTAGCTGGGAGTCGAGGGACAACATCAAGCTCATACTCGTAATGCAGCCTTTTAAGGGCATAAAGCTTGATTGAGCCTAATTTCTTAATCACTTTTTGGATTAATTTTTTTTATTGTTTTGGAAACATTAAGACCCTTTGGATCGACAAAGTTTTACTGCATTCATAGTGTGAGTTGCCTTGTCCTTGGAGAAATAAGTTTTTAAATACAATTTTTAAAGTTCTGGGAAAAAAATTTTTGGATTAAAAGGGTGCTTAGAATATGGATTTTAGAAAGTTAACAACGGATTAAGGATCCAGGTGTATTTGGATTTTTAGCTTTGAATTAATTAGAAGAATTTTTCCTGTGGGAAATGGCGATTGTTTGGGCTTTTTTAAGAGGAAACATGTTAATGGGACCTTGAGGTTTGGACACTAGAGGGAGCTAGAGAATAATTCATTTTGGAATGAAATGAAAGAAATGAAAGGAAAGAGGAAAGGAAAGAAATGTCAGGAAAGAGTGGAGCAGAAATCTTTGATGGATGTTTTTGAATTCTGGTCTTTAAAATTACTTCATATGATAGATAGTGTGTCAATGAAGTTGTAGAAGAACAAGCTACAACAGATGAGTTTGAAATTAATTTGAATGTGGATTTAAATGTGTAAAGTAATGAGAAGGATATGGAGATACAAATGGAACTGATGGATGTTTCACTGCTTAAAGGAGATGTACAATTATTAAACCAGAAAAGTGATTTCAGTAATTTTTTCTTACTGGGTCCACAAAAGAGGTC